TACTTCGAAATATAAAATTAGTCATGACTCTTTGGAAAGTGTAACAATACCTGTTGCCTGAACACAGCGGACACGGATGACCTGATTCTTAGATTATCGAATCAAACAATGATATATTTGGCTTCTGAATCGCGAAGGTATAGTATCATTCTTTGTGGTTGAAAAACAACACATATAGGTTCCGTGCTCAGAGACAGCGCCATCATCGCTAATATACACGTCACTGTGCGGAGAGTTCTCATCTAGAACCCAAAACAAACTTGAATAATAATATACATAATAAAAATAACACAATATATATTTCATTAATAATGTTCCTGAAGGAGTCATGATTCACTTTATCATAACTACAAAAATAACAAAATATGAGAAAAAGCAAATCTCAGAATTATTAATTATGTCATAGCCGGTAGATATGTATAAAAATTACTGTTTGTTTACAATTCATGGTGTGTATAATATGATGATTGTGAATGCAAAAAAATATAACTTGTTTACCTTGAAAGTATTAGAGTAATACTTTTAAGTGCTTATGTAATAATACTTCTCATAGTATTGGTGGTGGTAAGTATGTTAGGTAGTTGTGTCTGCATAATCTAGAAATTAGAAACATCGCATGCGCAGCGATGTTAACACGTGGCGCATGCGTGGTAATTTACATATTTTGAGAATGGTTGCAATACCATGAAGAGCAAATGGTACTTGAAAATGAACTACGATGAACTAATAGATTCTCATGATCCAATAACATCAGCAAAATTAATAAATTTTCAGCACAATGGAAAAATGAAATAAACTAAGAATCTAGTCTAGTTAAAAAAATTACTTGGCAAACATTAAAACTATTGAACACGGGTAAAAATTAGTATGTTTCGTCTAAGTAATCATTCACTGAGAATTGAAACAGGGCGTCATACTCTGTTGCAAGTGAACGAAAGGATATGTCTTCTCTGTAATCCACATTTTGTGGTGTCTTGCCCTGTTTATGCAAAACATAGAAACATTCTATTTACGGAAGAAAGGAAAATATCTACAAATTTAAATAAAACAAACTATGACGACAAATTCAGATTTATCTTGAGCAATAAATCAATTCCTTTAGGCAAATATTTGCGTAACTATCTTAATCTAGACAGCAACACCTCCTAGATATTGATGCTTGTGGATGATATTCGCTCACATTCGATCAGGTTCAAACTGCATGCATTGGATCATAGAGTTACAATAAAGGAAGCGTAATGTACATTTAAACAATACACTGTTTATTATGGCGATGTTACAACAAAGAAACTACAATGTAACAAGAAGGCAACTGATGAATACACGATGGAATGCCCCTTTTATAGGGTTCAGTAGGATTCACACCTATGGGTTAAAATAGGAAGGAGACACAGTGATAGGTTTGCAATATTGATACATCGGCTTAAAATCGACCTTGCAACTGATTCCTATTGCGATCGTGCTGTCTGTTGATTATTATTAAATGGCTTATGTAAACCGAATCTGTGTTTCTTTACAATAGAGATACATGCATTACGGTATAGTTTCAGGCATGTAACAACTTTCGATTGTTGTATCTCAGCTAATATAGCATGTAATTGAACAAAATAAAGACGAATAGATAAAGCAAAACATGATCTAATAATATAACTAAATTACGAATACGAAAAAATAAAACTGAATAAACAACAACAAATATGAATCAATGAGGAAAAACACAAGTGGATAAGCATCCACGACACAACTATTCATGCTAGTGATGTCTAATAGCAACTGGCAAAATTACAATCGAGTGGTGGGTTGGGTACAGTCAAGTACAAATAAGCCATTCACTGCCAATGAACAAATATAATCATTCTTTCCGATCATTTACTTTAACCTCCCCCCTCTTGATTCAATTGACATAACCAACAGACATAAGACATCACATACTTCCTATAACAGACAATACCATATTCACATAATTGTTCATACATGTACACATTGCCACAGCAAAATCAATTCCATAAATTTACCAATGGCTCAAGCAAATCATTTGCCCATATTAACTACAGCCTCCTTTGTAGCCCATCTAATATGTTTGTCTTGTGTTTCAATTACATAACGTTTGCTCAAAAATGTCAGCTTCTATTAATCTATTATTATTCAAGATCACGTTTATATTGACTATGGACAGATACCTTCAGTGTGGTGTTCGATGTTTTCTTTTTGAATGA